CAGGCTGTTCACGTGGCTTCTGCTCCTCGGATGAGCATGGTCTGCTCACGTGGCTGCTGCTCCTTGGATCGGAGCTGGCTGCATGCTGCTGTTGTTCCTGTGATGTGGGGGGCTGCTTGTGAGGCTACTGCTCCTTGGACATAGGCAGGTTGATTGCAAGTCTGTTGCTCCTTGGACAGGGGTGGGCTGTTCTCGCGGCTGCTGCTCTTCAGACAGGAGTGAGCTGCACGCGTGGTTGCTCCTCCTCAGACAGGGATGGGCCACTCACCTGGCTGCTGCTTGTCGGACAGGTGCAGGCTATGCGTGGCTCTGCTCCTCGGACCGGTGAGTGCTGTGCAGGGCTGCTGCTCCTTGGACGTGAGCGGTCTGCTTGTGTGGCTGCTGCTCCTCGGATCGGGATGGGCTGCTGCTGCTCCTCGAAAGGGGACGGGCTGCTCGCAGAACTGCTGTTCCTCAGATGGGGGTGGGCTGCTCACACAGCTGCTGTTCCTCAGATTGGGCAGGCTGTTCATGCAGCTGCTGCTGCTTGGATGAGGGCAAGTTGCTTGCACAGCTGCTGCTCCTCGGACTGGTGCAGGGTGCGGACTGTGCGCAGCTGTTGCTCCTCAGATGGGGGCGGGCTGCACAGGGCTCCCACTCCTCAGACATAGGCAGACTGCTCGTGTGGTTGCTGCTCCTCGGACTGGGGAGTGGGCCGCTCACACAGCTGCTGCTCCTTGGACAGGGCCAGGCCACATGAGGCTGCTGCTCTTAGGCCTGGGGCAGGCTGCTCGCGGGGCTGATGCTCCTTGGACAGGAATGTGCTGCTCACGTGTCTGCTGCTCACGTGGTTGCAGTGCCCTGGACAGCTGAGTCTCCTTCGCCAATTTGGGGTGGATGTTATTCGTTTCAGCTGCTCATTCTATTTGCTCCGGGACTAGCCTTGGAACGTGTCCGCCTATTCTGCCACCATCTTGTCTCCCTCCTACCACAGCTTTTTTTATCCATTCATCTACTGACGGGCACTTGGGCTGTTTCCAGATCTTAGCTATTGTAAATTGTGTTGCTATGAACATAGGGGTGCATACATTATTTCTGATTGGTGTTTCAGGTTTCTTAGGATATATTCCTAGAAGTGGGATTACTGGGTAAATGGCAGCTCCATTTAAAATTTTTTAGGAAACTCCATACTGTTTTCCATAATGGCTGCACCAGTCTGCATTCCCACCAGTAGTGCACTAGGGCTCACTTTTCTCCACATCCTCTCCAGCACTTTTTGTTTGTTGATTTGTTGATAGTAGCCATTCCGACAAGTGTTAGGTGATACCTCTTTGTCCTTTTAATTTGCATCTCCCTGTGATCAGTGACTTTGAGCATTTTTTTCTCTTCATCATCTGTATGTCTACTTTGAATAAGTTTCTATTTAGGTCCTTTGCCCATTTTTAATCTGATTGTTTGCCTTCCTTTTTTGAAGTTGTATGAGTTCCTTATATATTTTGAAGATTAAACCTTTATCCTATGTATCATTGCCAAATATGTTCCCCCATACAGTGGGCTCACTTTTCATTTTGTTGATGGTTTCTTTTGCTGTACAGAAGCTTTTTATGTTGATGTAGTCTCATTTGCTTATTTTCTCCTTAGTTTCCTTTGCCCTAGGAGATGTATCTGTAAACATATTGTTATGAGAGATGTCTGAGATTTTGCTGCCTATGGTATTTTCTAGAATTTTTGTGATTTCCTATCTTATATTAAAGTCTTTTATCCATTTTGAGCTTTTTTTTTTTTACGTATGGAGTAAGTTGGTGGTCTAGTTTCATTTTTTGCATATACCTGCCCAATTTTCCCAACACCATTTATTAGAGAGTGTCTTTACTCCATTGTATGCTCTTGCCTCCATTGTCAAATATTGAGTGTAATGGCTTGGCTTGATTTCTGGGTTCTCTGTTCTATTCCATTGATCTATATGTCTGTTCTTGTGCCAGTACCAGGCTGTTTTGAGCACAATGGCTTTGTAGTATAACTTAATACTGGGTATTGTGATCTCTCCAACTTTGTTCTTCTTTCTCAAGATTGCTGTAGCTATTTGGGATCATTTTTGGTTCTACATAAATTTTTGGAGAGTTTGTTCTAGATCTGTGAAATATGCTCTTGGTATTTTAATAGGGATTAGAATGAATCTATAGATTGCTTTGGGTAGTATGGACATTTTAATGATGTTGATTCTACCAATCCATGAACATGGTATATTCTTCTACTTGTTTATTTTTCCTCTATGTCTTTTTTCAACATCCTGTAGTTTTCTGAGTATAAGTCTTTTACCTCCTTGGTTAAGTTTATTCCTAAGTATCTTAATTTTTTTCATTGCAAAGATAAATGGCGTTATTTTTTAAATTTCTCTGAGAATTCATTATTGGTATATAAAAATGCCATTGATTTCTCGGTGTTAATTTTGTATGCTACTACATTGCCAAAATCATTTATTAAATCTAGTAGTATTTTAGTGTAGTCTTTAGGGATTTCTATGTAAATATCATGTCATCTGAGAATTGGCAGCATTCCTAATGTGTTTGATGAGTCTCCTTGTGTCTTTTGTGTGTTCTTCTAAAACTTATACGAGCATTCTGTTTGCATATATTTTAATTTATGTAAATGAAATTGAGTTATAAACTTTATAGATGCAGTTTTATGTTTTGAAGATTCTGCTATGCATACATCTAGTCCAGTCTTTCTAATTGGTTGTCCTGGTTGCCTTCTACTCCTGCCACTACAAACAACAATGTCAAGAATTTACTTATAAATCCATAAAATAATTTACTTATAAATGTTTTTATACTTAGAAACACATTTTTAATTTGGCTATTGCTATGGTCTGAATGTTTGTTTTCCCCTCCAAATTCATATTTTGAAACCCTAACCCGAAAGGTGATGATATTAGTAAGTGGGTTATTTAGGAGATACTTTAAGTGATGAATGGAAATCATGAATGGAATTAGTGCTCTGAAAATCAAGGCTGCAGAGAGATCCCTAGCCATTTCCACCATGTGAGGGAACAACAAAAAGGCACAGGCTATTGAAGCATAGTAATCCCTCCTTTGGAAAACTGTTGTTTGAAACTGCTGTTTGAACTACTCTGTTAATCTTAGTCTCTTATTCTGTAGGTCAACTCTGTTATTTATAGACTGTAAAATAACTTTGTTTTTTGCTTGAATAGAAAAGATAAACTTAATTGTCTGACCTTGCAAGCTAGCCATCTGACTGATACACTGATATTGATGGCAGGTGTCTGTATAGATATGATATGATACTCAAGATTACAGGTGTCTGTGTAGATATGATATGGTACTCAAAGTTACAAGTTGTCTGTATAGATATGACAGGTGTTTGATTAGATACGATAGGTACTCGAGGTTACAAGCTGTCTTACACAAAGAACTAGAAGGATATAAAAAGGAAATCATCCTTCCTGTGTTTGTTCAGAATTTGATAGAGGTAATCTGCTCTGAACCTGCGTGCAATAATGATGACTCCTAACTAATTGGCTCATTAGGTGTCTTGTCCAGCTCGCTGATTTGCGATACAACATTATGAACCAGGAAGGGAGCCATCACCACCACATGGCCATGCTGGTGCCTTCATCTCAGACTTCCCAGCCTCCAGAATCAGAAGAAACAATTTTCTGTTATTTATAAACTCCCCAGTTGTGGTACCGCTATTGCCAGACTGCTCCCCAGAATGGCCCTCCCTCCAGCAGTGCATTTGGGTTGCTATATCACATCCCTGGAAACTCTTATCATTATCCAGCTTTCTAAATCTTTCACCAGTCTAACCCTTATAAAGTAATACCTTAGGCCAAAGTTCATAATAAAGTAACGTAAGTTGAAAAAAACATGATTCCCCTTTAAATTTTATGACTGAAAAAATAATATTTAAAGTATTTTAAAGAAAATAATATTAAAAATATTTTAAAGAATAAAAAATAATATTAAAATATTTTTAAAGGAAATATTTCAAATAGGAATTATGCTAAATTGATTATAGCTTGTTTCTCTTCATGAATAATTTCCTAACAATAAATGTGCATTATTTTTGGTGAAAGCAAAGTTCTACATGGTGGTATGTGTAGTAAATTTTAAATTAACATAGCTATACTAAAAACTGTTAATCAACTATACACATTTCCAGGTACTGTGTCAGTACCTGGAAATGTGTATAGTAAGTCATTAAAATCAAAGTTTCATAAGTAAATCTGCATGAAAATATAAGGATATACAATGATAATGAACAGGAAAGGATAAAAATACATTGTTCCAATCTATAGGATTTTTCATGAGTTTTAGGACACTAAAATTTTTAAATTAAAAAAAAAAAAAAAACACCAGAATAGTAAGTTAAAAATAAATGATTTTCATTAAAAGTTGAAAATTGGCTCAGTGGATAGAGCGTCAGCCTGCGGACTGAAGGGTTACAGGTTTGATTCTGGTTAAGGGCACATGCCTGGGTTGTGAGCTCAATCCCCAGTAGGAGGTGTGCAAGAGGTAGCCAATCAATGATTCTCTCTCATCATTGATGTTTCTATCTCCCACGCTCCCTCTCCCTTCCTCTCTGAAATCAATAAAAAATATATATATATTTTAAAGTTGAAGAAATAGCCCTAGCCACTTTGACTCAGTGGAAAGAGCATGAGCCCGCAGACTGAAGGGTCCTGGGTTTGATTCAAATCAAGGGCACATACCCGGGTTGCAGACTTGATCCCTAGCCCCAGTCAGGGCATGTGCAGGAGGCAACCAGTCAATGTGTCTCTCTCACGTGGATGTTTCTCTTTCTCTCTTTCTCCCTGCTCCACCCTCCTCCCCTCCCTCTCTAAAAATCAATGGAAAAATATTCTCCAGTGAAGAGTAACAAAAAAAAAAGAAAAAAAGAAAAGAAAAGAAAAGAAGTTGAGAAAATATATGTACAAATAGGGATTGTTCTTACTGTAAAACTAGGATTATTCAAGTAAGTGTGGTTGACGATCTGCTCACCAGGACTCCCCCCGTTTGCCTCGGGTCCACTTCTGGGTCCTATCGAAGGAGACTTTGGAAAGAGAGTATCTGTTTCCCAGCTTCCAGGTCGGAAAAACCCCACATACTCGTTCCTCTGAGAACTACTAAAACGCAAATAATATTTTACCTACAAGGAGCAAATAGAAACAAACAATATCGATAAAAGCATAATGAAGCAGGAAGGAGAAACAAAAGGAAGTTAAAGTGCAGTTGGGAGAATGCGGCTGCGAGGCAGCCTCAGAGGCTGTGGCAGCGGGTGTGGAAGTCAGGAGGGGAGCGCAATCTGGCTGCAAGGCTACTGGGGGCTGTGGATGGATCTGCCCCAAATACACAGCTGCTTGCACACTAACAGGAAATACACCGAAAGGTTTTATTAATTGCTCTTCCCATTGTGTCAGCTAAGTGTCCTGTGAGGAAAAGCTTCCTCTCCTAGAGGTGATTGCTAACATCAGAATCCTGCCTGAGGATAGAAGAGTGTATTCAAATGTGAATGCAGGTGCTGCATTTTAATTGTTGAATGAAAGCTAGTACTCATTTAGGAGAACTGCATAAACTTCCATGTAGGGCACGATGCAATAGTTGAGCAGCAGGGTCAAGAGAGGAATCAGTAGGATCAGGAGGGGCAAGCAGAAGTCAGAAGTCAAGGTAAATATTCATACTTTCAGTTATCACGACAGAAGTTTTAGGCACTTATTACATATTGGAGGATTAAGGCAGAGACCCTGTTACTCAAGGAGCTCAAATTCTAGTAGAGGAAGATTATGTATATTTATGCTGTAGTAAAATCAGTGATAGAGATATGTATAGGAAATGTATGGAAGTACGAAGGAGGAAAGGAGTGGGTGTGGTTGGAAGAGACAGGGTCCAGTGAGTCATAGTAGCAATCTTAAGGGTAAGTCAGAGTAATCAGCCAAGTGAGAGGAGCAGGGTCAGGGAGGTACCCAAGGCATAAGGGGAAGTTTGAAACCGCACCGAGACACGGAGCAGGCTCTAGGCAAGCTGCTAAGCCCCCACCAGTATCAGCTTGCATGGAGTCAGGCAGGAGGAAAGTTGCAGTTATGAAGAGATGAGGGGGTGGGAGGACAGAATGAAAAGCTTCCCACAACCTACTTATACCCGGGGGCTTTTCTTACTTTCATTCCATTGTCAACCATCTGTGTCTTAAATGCACAATTATGGTTCCATGAACTCTTTATTTCTCTCAACACCAGAGACACCAAGTTCAAAGCACTGTCCTTGCCTCTCCTCCTGGGGGACTAGCACCAGAATCCTCTTCAGTGTCTACACATGTCCTGATTCTCAGTTAGCCTGGCTAAGCCTTAGCACCGTTTTCCAGGTTCAGAATTAGAAATGATGAGATTCATTCAAAAGAAAGAGGAATGTTTCCTGCTTGTGTTCTATGCTCCTGACCTCCAGCTGCACCTGCTCTGTCACCTGGTACCCTGCCCAGGAAATGTGCAGGGCTCACTGCCACCTGAGAGCTGGAGGCTGCTGCCGAGCCAGATACAACGGCAAAAGGGGCACCTCAGTGGTCATTGTTGCCTATGACTGCCTTATAAGTAGAAGGCCTGATAGGCAGTGAATTCAAATCTTTCCCCAGCAACATAAAGCCCTGGTGCATAAAGGCAGAGATGCTGACGTGAATAGATTTGGGTTTACATGCCTGCTCTGCTATGTATAAGCAGCATGATGTTGGGTAAATGACAGTCTCCCCGATTATAAAATACTTCCACTTCATTAAGTCCCTGGAAACTGGAAGTATAACCATAAAGTTTCTACATAAAACTTTCTTACCTTAAGTGGCAGAGGATCATGGCTATTTTTGAACTCATGGTCAAAAACAAAAGCAACCATCACTCTTTCAGAGTTATTCCCTTGCTTAACATAATCTTCAAAATCTCTTTCTGAAGGAAAGCCTTGAACTGTAAAGAGAGAAAACTCTAATATGTGAGTTGATCACTTAAAGGCACAATATCTGACAGTTCTTCCTATCTTTAAAATGGAAAACACTTTTGCCGAAACCGGTTTGGCTCAGTGGATAGAGCGTCGGCCTGCGGACTGAAAGGTCCCAGGTTCAATTCCGGTCAAGGGCATGTACCTGGGTTGCGGGCACATCCCCAGTGGAAGATGTGCAGGAGGCAGCGGAATGATGTTTCTAGCTCTCTATCTCTCTCCCTTCCTCTCTGCAAAAAATCAATAAAATATACTTAAAAAAAAAATAAAATAAAATGGAAAACACTTTACATGGATGAAAGGCTATGAAAATATTATAAATTTCAAACCACTATTGCTAAAACATTGGTATAATGAACTAATGCATATTTGGAGTGCATAAAATTTTTAGGAGTTGTAAAAGTTTTATCACAAGCTTGGAATACAATTCCTCATTATAATAACTGCACATTGAAGAAACTCTAAGAGGGTGTTTCACATTGTGTTTTGAAATTTCCACCTTAAAGAAAAATATAAACAAAATTTATCTATGCAATCTATTCTAAGTCCCATACCATTGTGATTTCTAATATATAAATAAAAAATAGAGGAATAAAACCACTTTATAGTTTTAATGTTTGCGGCAATTATTTATATTCTTTTTTATTAAATTTATTGAGGTAACACTAGTTAACAAAATCATACAGCTTTCAGGTGTACAATTCTACAACACATCATCTGTACACTGTATTGTGTGTTCACCACCCCAAGTCTCCGTCCATCACCATTTATCCTGCCTATGCCCTCCTCCACCTCCCCAGCCCCTCCTCCCCCTGGCAATCACCACATTGTTGTCCATGAGCTCTTTCTCTTTTTTGCCCAATTCCTCCACCCCCACCATCCAGCCCCCACACTGACAGCCGTCAGCTTGCTCTCTATGAGCCTGTCTCTATTTTGCTTGTTAGTTCAGTTTGTTCATTAGATTCCACATATGAGTGAGGTCATGTGGTGCTTGTCTTTCTCTGTCACTTATTTCACTTAGCATAGTGCTCTCCAGGTGCATCCATGCTATTGCAAAGGGTAAGATTTCCTTCTTTTATACAGCCAAGGAGTATTCCATGATGTAAATGTCTCACAGCTTTTTTTATCCTCTCATCTTCTGATGGGCACTTGGGCTATTTACAAATCTTGGCTATTGTAAATAATGCTGCTTTGAACACAGGGGTACATATATTCTTTCTGATTGGTGTTTCGGGTTTCTTAGGATATATTCCCCAAAGTAGACTCGCTGGATCATAAGGCAGTTCCATATTTAATTTTTTGAAGAAACTCCATACTGTTTTCTGCAGTGGCTGCACCAGCCTGCATTCCCACCAGCAGTGCACTAGGGTTGCCTTTTCTTCACGTCCTCACCAGCACTTATTTGTTGATTTGTTGATGATAGCCATTATGACAGGTGAGGTGATATCTCATCATGCTTTTAAATTTGCATCTCTCGGATGATTAGTGACATTGAGTCTCTTTTCATATGTCTATTGGCCATTTTGTATGTCCTCTTTGGAGAAATGTCTATTCAGGTCCTTTGCCTATTTTTTAATTAGTTTTTCTTGCTGCTCAGTTTTATAAGTTCTTCATAAATTTTGGATATTAACCCCTTATCAGATGTACCAGTGACTTGTTTTCAGCTAGTCTTCAGCAAGCTGGTTATTCAGGCTGATTGCTGTATAATTTTATCGTAATTCCAGTTTGGTCCTGGGAGGAAGTGAGTGTAGCTTCCACCTACTCAATCGCCATCTTGGATCCTTATTTGCCACAATTATGTTTCAATATTTGAGCTCATCCATCAAGGAATTTAGCCTAAATCAAGTTTAACATAATAGAAATTCTTTTAATGTGGCAACATTTGTAGTTCTAAGATATAATACTTAGGCCTTTAAATATCTGTATATAAGTTTGGGTACACTAAACATTTTCTTAGGAGTAAACATGGTTTTTTCTTAAATTATCTCAGATTTGGCCAGTAGGAGCCTGTAAGCATGTTTTTGTTATGAAGAGGATAACAAAGGCTTCAACAGCCCATAGGTGCATGTGAAGTTCCATGCATGTTTACTACTAAGATTTGAATGGCTTGATTGAAATCTAGCAAATACCCATGATCTGATTCACAAAAGCTTCTATACGCCCATCATCACTGATAGATCCTCCCTTCCCCCAACTGGTGGGCGGAGTATGACGTAACCTGCAGCCCGGAAATACCTGAGTACCTTATATGGACTATACATTGGACCACCAATCCACACCTGCCAAATACCCTAAGCCCTTGTCCTATATGGAACAATACAGTAAGCCACCAATCAGTGTGCGCTGAGTACACTAAGCCCCCACCCGTTCCCATTCCGCCCCTCAAAAGGCG